TCAGAGTTCAAAAGAGCCAGGAGCTCTTCAAGGCGCCGGTTCAATGAGGCCCAAACCTCACTTTGAACCCGCATGTCCAACTCGCTTAACACAGAGACACAAAAGATATCATTGGTTAACTGCCTGCTGTACTGAGATACAAACAAAACACAATTCAATCATTATAATATCATTATAAGAGATACTAATATATATTTGTATAGGTTGCAGGCCCCCTGTTATAAAGCATTCACACCATGACAGAGAAACTCATAATGTATGTTTCCTTGGCAGGGACCTTAACAAGAAACGGGGCTGAAATAAATCAGAATACAAGGTGCTAAAACAGGATGCTAAAACTATATCACTTGCTGATTATCTCCAGCTTTTAATTTAATAATCTTTTTTATTAGTGTCCTAATATACATTTCCCACAACTTTGAATAAAAATGAAATCCCAGACACTTATGCTGAATGTTATCGAAGTTTATGGATAAAATCAGCAAACCTAGAGATCTTCACTGGAAGGAAGCAGTGTCTCCACAGATACGACACGAGAGAAACAGGCTTATAAATGCCTTAGAGAAAATTTTGACCCTTTCATCTTAACTCCACTTATCCAAGATATTTCCATACATTTAAACAATCACGACTATCAAGCCACCTGAGATTCATGTTGCTTTGGTCTGATTTCAGTTTTCCAACTGTATTGTGGTGGGCGGAGATCTAAATCTAAATCTAAATCAGACATTAGATGTTTTTGTTCCTAATATGGATGTTATTTTTGTTGTTTTTATGACTGACCTGATGCCAGATTTGCATGATCTCTTGGCAGGAGACTCTCCATCTCCCGTCTTCTGCATCACAGTAGCTTTATCCGCCTTCAGAGCAACTCTTAGGAAGCCTTCTGCACACTGAAAAACATCAGATTTAGAAAGGAAAGCCATGCAAATGTGACAAAAATGGTTACATTGTAGAAAGGATGTAAAAGAAAAAAAAAGGTTCCTACTTCAGCTTGATTTTCTGTCCCAATGGTTGACGCCAGCGTCCTGCAGACGTCCACCACCTGCTGCCTCCGTAGCACTGCAGCACCTTCATAACTCGGGCCAAAAGACAGGGAAAAGCAGAAAAGCACGCAGAGCGATTCAGTAAGCTCTGATCCAAACCTAATGCCTGCTCCTCCGAGAGCGCAGACACACTCAAACATCTGCGAGAGGTAGACGGACTCAAAATCAGAGGGAGAAATGTAGGATGACTGAAACAAGCAGCGGGTGAGCTTGAGGAGCTCTCCTTCATAGGGTTCCTTCTCATCTGAGCTGTTGTGTGTTTCGAGAAGGTGAAAATAGGCTGGGAAGAAATTGTAGTTCTGGATGTGGTCAAATTTCCTTAGCTCCACCAGTTTTCTTATCATCACCATAGAAATCTTCCTCAGTTTGGTGTTCCCGTTTGCCAAGATGGAGCAGGCTGTCTCCAGGGTCACACTCAGATCCCGACAGGAAACAACTCCCCGCAGAGAGTCGGTTATGATACCAACAGTGACAGTGGTCAGTGACTCTAAGGCAGCCGGAGATGACAGTACAAGTGGAGTCTGGGTAAGGTAGGAGGCAGAGGAGGCAGAGAAGAGGAAACGCCCGAGCTTTACAGGCCACTGGTTCTGGGTGTAAATGCCCAGGTCATGTCCTGGTCCCGATAGTGTTGCTATATGAGCAAATAGTATGTTGCTGAGGTCTTGGGCCATTAAAATGAATTCCTGAATGAGGCAGCTGAAGATGAAGGGCACTCTGACCCTGAAAGAGTGAAGTAAAGAGCAAAGCACAGCAGAGACCCTCCCATGGATCACGCCACAGCCTGGAGCTGCTGCCACACGAAGTAAACGTACTGCTACCCACTTACTAAAGTCTGAAGGTGGGAAGAGAGAGAAAACAATGGATAAGTAAGTGTTCTTAAAAGAATTACCATCAACAAGTATTTATTTAATTTTTTTACCAGTGCAGCTCTGTATGGTGTCCGGATACTCAGCAGGCTGACAGGCAGGATTAGCAAACATCAGAGACGAGGATTTGATTATATGTTGCACAAAATCCAGAAGCATTACACAAGCTGGCTCTGAACTGGACTTTTTGTTCAGACCTATAGCAACTGCAAAAAAAACAAACAAAATAATAATAATAATAATAATAATAGTTTCTGTGATATTTCCAAATAAGAAATATTATTTTATTTTTTTTAATTTTTTTAGATTAATTTAAAAAGATTAAAATTTGGGGCAATAGCTATCAAAAAACCTTTTAAATCCTGATTCCAGATTTAATTCCCAGACTACTTAATCAGTTAACAGTGATTTTGTTAAACAATATTATTTTAAACTGAGGATCAGACTTAAGCCCATTTTACCAAAAAAGCTCTCAGAGGCCTTTACCTCTTTACCAAAGTCAGTAACTTTGGTTTGTCCTTTGCTTTTTTTCAAACCTGTGCTAATATACGAGTAGTTTGCTTACTTCATCATCCATATTCTCTGGTAAAACACAGATTCCTGCCTAAGTGTGTTTTTATAGGATTTAGCCTAGGGTATCAATTTTGGTTAAAAGGAAAATAGAATTTTTTTTATTTTTTTTTTAGAGAACCAGTTATTTCATAACTGATTGCTTGCATAAAAACATCAAATAAACTGTCCAGTTTTAGATAACTTAATTAAAATCCAAGACAACATATGTATGGATGTATACAACATTTATACAATTGAGGGAGTTCTATGACTGCATATATTTTATTGGATGGTTGAATCATTTTATTATTGATCATTTCATACATATTACTGTAAAAATAAAACCAATATCCAGATATTGCATGATTGTGGAGGAAGCCTAAAACATAAAGGAATAAATGGATGGATAGATTGATATCAGAGATGGAAAGAAAAACGTTTGGAAATACAAACAACTTTTTTTTTTTGCACTGATTTAAACCTAACAGATCCCACACTTTTCACTTAATGTCACTAAAAACTGTGCGCAGAACTGGCATCTTAATTGTTAATATTTGAATTTGGACCTGGTTCTGATCTAAAGCTGTATTTCTATGTGATCTGTTGACTTACCAACGTCTACATCTGTCAGTATCCTGTCAATGAACTGGCAGAGGATCTGTCGGGGTTTCTGCACCGCTAAGTCATACTCAGCAGCACTGGCGCTGTGAAAATAAACAGTGTTAACCCTTTCTAACAGGGTCATTCAGCAGCGGGATAAACTTAACATGTAGTGAATAAATGTCAAACAACACAGCAACAATCGAGGTGTTTCTGTTAAAAAGCTGTTAGCAGATTAGCTTTTTGCCTGTTTTACCCACCTAGCTAGCTCCTGAAGAGCGGGAATCATTGCAGACATTTCAAGTCCCTCCATGTTTAAGCTTCCACTTCCTACCGCAGTGTTTAAAAGAAAAATATACACATTTTTATGAGTTAAATAATTTTAAAGTGGCTCCCCATCGTACCACGAGTTTCGAAAACTTTCGCTCCACAATGACGTCGTTTTTTATTTGGTACGGTATCCACCGAGGCTCAATATACTCAAGTTCGAACTCCGAGAACTATTTTCCTATATTCCTATTTTTAGGGGTTAAAAGTGTATGCAGGCTCCAGTAACATAAATAACAGTTGGAAAACCGTAAAGAACAATAGCATAATCAAACACAATTTTCAATTACTTAAGTAAGAGTAAAATTAGAGAAAATGTTGAAAACAAAAACACAAAAAGTCAGAGAAACTAAAATCAGAAAGTAGTTGTAGTATTTTGTAGATTGTTTCGTCTCTCTTCAAGTAACATAGAAAGTCACACAATTACTAATTGAATTTTAAACAATCACTGTTTTTATTACTGAAATTTGTTTTATCAATGTAAAAATATTTAAGAAAGGCCTTAAATTAATTGCACCCACAATTCACATGTTGTATTGTTGTTTTTTTAATAAAGGAAATCTATTTTGTTTTTTACATTGCTATGAAAATAGAATAAGTCATCCTTATTTTTATACATTTTTAATCTACCTAGAAAAAAATGCCAAAGCTAATAGCTGATTAAGTAAGGGATGCTGGAGTCAGATGTTTTTAAAGCCAATGGTAGAAGTGGAATTACTTTTTTTTACTAGATTGCCAAGAAAGTTATCTAGCCTGATAGAAATCTTAACAAAGTAATACATATATCCAAGAGCAAAACAATAAAATAACCGTGTTTACCGATATTTGCAGTTTGAGAAGGTATAACATACAGAGAAATATAATTTATGTTTATATTGTGAGAAGCTCAATTACCGAATAAAACCAATGGCAAATTCTTCCGGTTATCCAACATGCAACTTCATCATAGTTATGGTGGCTTTGATGTCAGTCCTGAAACCAAATAACAGATTTCACTGGAAATCCAGGAAAACATTAGATGCCACAAGCACTTGTTCTTGGTTCTCTGCCGCCCCCCTCAGTTAATTGGAGACAATGACAAAATTTCTTTGTACTGCAACTAAAGGCAGTTCAAGAAATATCCCTAATGCTTCTTGTACCACATGTTGATAACCACAGGTCTAGCTAATATAGTTGTAAATAGTTCCAGCAATAAGAAAAGCCAGAAAAACACAGTGATGCACAGAACTGCAACAAATAAATGTTACTGGTCCACAAAATCAAATCTTTTTTGTAGTGTGTTATGTGGCTTAAAATCTAAATCTTTAAATCTAAATGTAAATGTTTTGCTTAAAAATAAAGCGTACACCAGCAAGATAAGTGTTACCCATATGTGAAATATAGTTGTAATATCTATTTGGATACATCAGTTTGGATTGTCTGAAGGCAATAACGGATCATGTTCTGGGTTTACCTTATAAAAGTTAATATAATATAAATGTATTCTTTAAACAATATAATATATAAAATTGAAATATGTGTTTCCTTATGTTTAACAATCTAAAGGCCTTTTAAATAATCCAGCAGACGCAAGACATGTTTTCCATTAGCAATGCATTTTATTTGTCTTTACACTAAACTTAAATGAATTTGCAGCAACCTCTTTCTTCCATTCATTTCTTTTTTGTTAATCCCAAAACATACAGAGATGCAATATATGGTTTACACAATTTACAAGCCTATGAAATCTATAATGATAAATCAGGTTTCAAAGACTCAGATTATAAAAGCCTTACATTTCATGTGGCTGATTCAAACCATCTGGGAATAGAAAAGCACAGACACAGTATACACACAAAACTATTGAACTTTTATATTTAATAATGTTCAGTTCAGTAATTTAATATCAATATTCAGTGCATGACATTCATAGGTTTAAAATAAGGCTTTTATTTGTGATTCTTTCACCCCTGTGGTTCATCTTTAATTGCAAAAGGTGATGAACGCTTCGGACTAGGAAAAGTTTATTTAGAATCAACCAAAGTGGTGTTTAAAAAAACTGTATGAATCAAATCATAGATAAACTAATGAAGCAGCTTAACAAAATTGAAATCAATTACAAGTTAGCTAGGAAAACAACAAATGTCCTATAGATTTGTTCTGGCAGATAAATGCAAAAAGTTCATTGAAAGGAAAGAAAAGTATGATACAAATTAAAAACAAAAAGGAGAAAAGATGCAAATGTAGGTTTCTTTTGTTTTAAAACATGGTTTTCTATTCAGCGTTTGCTTTTTCTCAAGTCATGTCCCATGAGGCAGGCAAACACCGTCATCACCATTTTATTTTTCACCTCCACCAGGTCATCAGGCAGGGCGTAGACTCGAGCGCCGATCTTACGGGCCAAGGAGATTGCATACCTTGGAGAGAAAAAAAAGAAAGGAAACAAATCACACAATGAAAAGGAAAAGAAAAAAACCCCTAAAGAGATGAAAAAGAATTTCTGTCTTTACTTGGCATTGTTGAGTTTCTCATCATTCTTCAACACCCCCTTTTCTCCTCTCTTCACCATGTCCCACTTCACCATGCCAGGGGCGATGGCGTCAATCAGGTCAATCACAGGCAAACTGGTGCTGATCAGCTTGTCCTGCAGAGAACATAAAACAGAATTACATTCCTCTATAGCTTTGAGTTAACAGAGGTAATCAACTGTCTGCACCTTTGAGTAAAAATGTAAGGTTTGGAGGCAGAAAACAGTTGAAAAACAAATTTATAAGAAGGATAACATTTTAGAAAAAAAAAACATACAATAACCATGGAGCATAAATGTGTTGACCCTTGAACTAATACTACACACACCACCCAGCTACCACCATTTTTACATTTTAGAGCTGCAGCTTAAATATAAACTGATTTGAAAATTCACACACAAAGTTCAATAAGATTTTAGCTGGACCTAAAGGTTTCTAGCTAAAGATAATTACATCCCCCCGTTCCCTCGCTTAAGTTCAGGGAAATAAAGCAAGCTGTTTAATGAGAAAATAGAAAGTATGAGGGGGGGGAAAAAATGACACTAACTGCAAAACAGTTTGACTTGTCTTCTTGTGCCATTTTGACACCAAACATTTGTAATGTCTTTTGTTGTTCCGTGCTTTTTGTAAATATAGATGAATGTTATTATTGTGCAGGTAGACAGATAGACATATGAACAAACCAGACAATGATCTTTCAAAGATCTCGGTTGAATTGGACAGAAAACTAGTTCTGCTGTAACTAAACCAAATATAAAAAAGCAGCAAATTTTTTAAAAGACTCTCCACTTAAAAAAAAAAATGCACAACCGTGTACCCACTCTGGAGATGGAACACTCATTAAATGTGTGTGTGGGAGCATCCACAAGCCCATTTCTCCTTGTGCACGCTCTGTTTAAAAGTTGCTGTTTTTATCGTTCATACAAGCTTAGTTTCTAAAGGAAGATTTGCAAATTTTCCATTATGTCAGACTCACCACTGGTAAATGAAAATGGGTACAAGCACGTAAGACGGCCTTACGTAAATATAGTATCACCAGAATGATTGACAATTAAGAGGACCACTGATATTGATGATCCACCCGGAAGAAGAGCATCCTCCACTATACTTTAAAACAAAAGATCTGGTTCCACCCACCTTAAAGCTGCTGATGTGTGTCTCCTTTCGACTGTCCTTAAGGGTGGTGTTGACCCAGTTTAGGATAAACTGATCCACATCTTTCTCTTTGTGGCCCAAATTGGACAGAACCATGACAGTGTACCTGAAGAAGGACAAACGGAAAAAATAATCAAGAATGCAAACGAGCAGTTATGATGCCCACTTTTTTTCACCTATAAACTAAATGAAAGAAAGAAAGACTTTCTGGAGCATGCACCTTCTCATCAGCTGCCACACCAGAGCCAGGGTGTGCACACGATCTCCCTCGTTGATGTTTTGTCCTCCAACTCCGACCAGAGAGAAGTTGGCGTCCTCCTTGCTGAGCCTTACGGCATAGTTGCAGTTCTCCAGCTAGAATACATTTTGTAAAGTTTAGCCTTCCTTGAATTGAACACATGCATGTGTTCATGAGTTTCTGCAACGTTTGCATGTCACCTTCTTCATATTTCCTCCCAGTTGAGGATAAGGAGGGTTGTTGACTCTCTTCCAGTCCACAACTACTCTGACTTTTTCTAGAAGCTGCAAAATCACTATGCCATCACAAAGGTCCCTAAAAAAAAAAAAAAAAAAGAAAGAAACAGGATAAAAATGCTGATAAATATTAACATGGAAAGCTGTTCATTGTTTTTTTTTTTCCATGAATCCCTATAAACTACAGTACTGGATCATCATGTATCTATAAAGGTCCTTCAAAAAAATAAGTGTGAAGATACATAAAAAGAGCCAGTTTTAGCTACGGTTTAGTGAGGTTTCATACTATATCTCCAGAAAAACTCCAAAGGGAACAACTTATAAAAGTTGTGTTTCCTATCTGAATTTCAAACATATTTGATAATTTAGTTGGTTAGCATGCAAATTAAAGAGTATTCTTTAGTTGAAGGGTTATAAAGGTTTTGCAGCACAAAAGAGAAAAGACATAATTGACTTGTTGGAAGTCAAGGTTGCCGACTCTGAATCTATTAATCAGAGCAGCTGCCAATAGACCCGTTTGTATCCTTCTCATCACTTTGCAGCTCAAATGTCAAAATCTGTTGACACTATCTTATCTCTTAAGTCACATACTTCTCAGATGTGGGCCTTTAAGTAAAAAGGTAAAAAAGCAGTTGTACCGATAAAGATGGTTTACACGTGGAGAGACACCTAGGGAGTTCATCCAGTTACGGAATGTTTTCTCTTCCCTGGTTTCAGCTGACAACACATAGACACAAGATATAGGTTATCATTCTCCGACCCCGCCTCATATGCTGAACATTTCAAACATTACAACGATACACCTTAATATGTCTTAGTATTTTCTGATTTTCTGTTGATCCATAAACATCACTCACGCTCTATGTGTTCCCCTTCCAGGTTAAACTTAGGCTTGTGCAGACCAGGATGCATGTTAAACAAGTTGGCCACAAAGGCCAGGTTGAGTTTGATGTTTCCAGACGTGACGTCACGGGGAGAAACAAACTGCCTGCAGTCCAACTTGGCTGCTTCCTGCAGCATCAGCTCAGCCCTTCGCTCCAAATCCCACTCCTGTATATATACAAACGTACATGCACTGTAACAGATGTGGCCGTGGTGAGGATCTTCTCAAGTTCACTGAAGCAAAAGCGACTTACATTGAGGCCAGCCATGTTGATTTTGATCCCCATGTGGAATTCATCTTCATCTCGTGGGGAAATCTGGTCCAACAGGTAGAAGTAGGCCCTTGAGTCCTTTAAAGGCAACAAATAAATATTTATTGCATGACTGTATAAGTATAATGTCTAGTGATAAACACTGATAAGTACCTTGATATCAGAGCTGAAATTGCTGATTTGTTCTGTTCCTGCATTGATTAGGTGGTAGTTGACCCATCGTAGAAGAAGCTCCTCAGGAGACAGAGACATGAGATGCTCTATGTCCTCTCCTTCCATCAGAATGGAAATCAAGCCTGGACAGAGACAGGATTGAGCTCAACATTTCAGTTTTCCTGGTGAGAAACGTCAACTGTGTCATACCAGTAAATAAAACTCATATGAAAGAAAGTAAGAATTATTTTAATGGAATTCATCTGAGTGAGTGAGTGAGTGAGTGAGTGAGTGAGTGAGTGAGTGAGTGAGTGAGTGAGTGAGTGAGTGAGTGAGTGAGTGAGTGAGTGAGTGAGCCTTTGAGCAAGCGAGCGAGTGAGTGAACTGACCTTCGTTCCTGGAGATTTCGATATCAGCAAAGAGGCCGACCTTGATAATCTGCCACAGGAGTCCCAGGACCAGGTGGGGTTTCCCAGCCATCAGGTCATGTGCATCGATGCTCACCACCGTGCAGCCAATTGCCAAGGCTGAGTTCAGGGCTAAGACAATGTTTTCCTAAGAATGCACATAAAAACATGTTGGCTTTGATGAAGAATATTATAAACTGTTTAACAAAGTAGTGTTATCTCTATCTCTAAACAGTCAATACATATTATCAAAAAAAGCTAGTGATACCAAAAGGTTTACGTTAGACAGAGCGTTTTTCCCCTTTCCTCTTTAGATAGTAAACTGTAAGCATTTCTGTCATTTTGTTCTTCTTTGTTTCCATTGGTGATTACTGAGCCACACTGCCTGTTGTATATATGGTATATAGCTATGTACTATATACTTTATAGAGTATGTTTTATGTTTTATATTGTATATAGCTATAGATTCTGTATTCTGTTTATGTATATACATTTTGTCTGCACCATCAACAATAAGTCAAATTCTTTGTAAGTGCAAACCTACTTGTCAATAAACTTGTTTCTGATCATTAGTAGTGATGCCCTTTTGGGCACTGATCTGTAGACTAAAACATACATGAAATCTATAAAGACAACATATTGAGAATTTAGTCCTTGTGTGTCTCTGTTTTAAACTTTGAGGATAAATGGACCTTTATACGCTGTGATTTGAACAATCACATACATATCAGTGAAGTCATTGATGGGACCATTAAAGTTATTTCCTCCCAGGGAGATGGGTCGTGGTTGCACTTTAGGCATTGGACCGCTGAAATATGAAGCCACCTCCTCAGTTGGACTTTTTGAATGAACTTTTTCAAAACTGAGGCCAGACATGAGTGGATTGTCACTGAATGGGGATAGCCTACTTTATCAATTACAGTACATGCCTTGCCATAAAAGAACCACAGAATGGCATGTTTCCTGCCACAGCAGCCTTTTTTCTCTTTCTTTTATGCTTAGAAGATTAGCTGTCTTTTCATGCCATTCCTTTATGTCACTGTTTTCATCAGAGAAAAAGTTAGAATCTGGATACAGTATTGTGTATTTTATAAAATTGCGAGAAAACATGCCATCCGGAATCTCCCTCTCTGTCAAAAGTCTGTCCTCAAGGGCTGCTGTCCTGCAGGTTTTAGAGGTTTTCCTGCTGCTGCACAGCTGATTTCAATTTATAGCTGATTAAAAGGCTTTTTAATCTATATTAAAGCGGGGAAACCTCTAAAGTCTTTGGACGTTGGACATGCTTGCTCTACTATGTTTCACTTGCTAATCCGTTGACTATAAATCTTATCAGTGAAGTCTTATAAGTGAAATTATATAAACTTACACCGTATGGCTGATTGCTTCTGTGCTCATAGCTGCTATGAGATCTAACATGGAGCATTCAGGTTTGGTGCAGAGTTATAAATAGTGTAGAGATATACTCACCCTCCTTGTGAAGGTGGTAAGTTTCTTTGTGTTGATGACTCGTTCATCGATTGTGTCTGGCTGGGACAGGTTGATGAGCTTACTGAAAGAAAAAAAAAGGAGTAGGAGAGGTTGGTTAAAGGGAAGCTTAGGAGAGTGACTGATGCCCTATGTGAAGAGCCTCAGCCCATGCAAAGGTCCACCATGCAGTGAGAAAATTATGCACATCTAAGATGAACATCTATAAAGCAATATAACATGTTATCAGACTGATTCTCCTGCAACCTTTGTAGCAACATAAAACACTGAACGCATGTTCTGAGTGCTCAATGCAAATCCCCATCTAAGGTTAACTGAACTTGTTTAATGGCTATACAAAGTACAACTGCGCAAAAAATCGCAACTCACTATCATGGCAGCAATACACAAGTGGTACTCATTAATACCTATAATATCTAAAAAAAAGCCCTTTATATTATGCTTCACTATATAGTCTAAACTGTATATACATATATAGTATATATATATTTATATATATAGCGTGTAAATATATTTATATATATGTATATAATTGTGTATATATGTATATATATATTTTTTTCAAAACATAGAAATTTAGCAGGAAGGTTACTCTACTTAAAGTTAATTTAAGAGACGGAGGGGGAGTATGAAAAATACATTTTACTTCTTATACCCCTTTTCAGACAATTTACATTAATCAATGTTAGTTCTCTGGCTATATATACTAACAGGTTTATTTGGTGGAGGGTTTTGTTTCTATTTATGTTCAGATGAATTTATTTAGTTTGGAAATTGGTGTTATTGAAATTTTTTTAAATTGTCTGAAATAAATTCCTTTTCATGCACTTATTCATTCATTAATTCATTCATGCGTTCATTCATTCATTCATAAACAAACTAATATTTAACTTAAACCCATAGTTTCTTGGTATTTAATGGATGATTTATATACATATAACATTTATTTAAGTCATTTAAGTCCCTTTCAAAGCTTGAGTAATATCTTACATAGTAATAAACTGAGGTATAATTGTATATTATACGCCTGACTGTATTTCAGCAAAAAATTGTGGGGTTTTTTTTGTTTTGTTTTTTTTTTTTAATCCAGGAAGATACTGATGAAAATGTTGAAACATAATTCTGTATTACCAAAAAAGTATTCTGTAATATTGAACTGGGTCTTACTGAGTTGTAATTCAGTAAGACCCAGTTGTACCAATGGGGTATGTGGGTAAAATCAATGAAAGATGCACAGGATGTTTGTATTGTTACATACTTCTGTAAAAGTGCATGTGTTTATGTCGTACCAGAGCAGGATGCCATCACGCAGTGAGGCAAAAAGGCTCTCATCAGTTGGGTCTACAGGCAGCAGGTGTTTGCAGTCAGGATCCTTTGCCAAAGATTTGTTGATCCATCTAGCGAAGGCTACTTTCTCCTCATCTGAACAAACATGAATTGAAGGTTAAGATGCTAAGTTAGAAACTTTAAACAGTCACTGATTCTGTCTGATCTGACACAAAGAGTGCACTCTCTGTGTGTTAAAACTGTTTAACATTTCAGTGATTTAGACCTTTGCAAGGTTTTAAAATGACCCAACTCTGACATTAAAGTCATACATTACATATAGCCAAAATATTAATATATATATTAAAACAATTATACTTTCAACACACTAAACCGATATAAAACATACCCAAGGACATGCAAAGGGTTGCATGTTTTTATGGTTTGTCTGTTGGGGGATTTTTTTTTTTATATACATGGATAATCAAATGAATGAAATATATTTATTTACTTTCTTTAAGAAATTCACACAATAATGACCTCATGATCATGTTACTGTACTTGTTATTTGAAATATGACTGATATATTTAAGTTAGGTTTTATTTATATCAGCTTTGCACATTTTCAGACAACTGTTTGGCACAATGGGGATAAAAACAGACATTACATGAGGGAATCCAACTAGAAACAATGATAAACTAATTACTTATATGCTAATGGCTGTGTGGAGAATGACATAGGACACAGATGTGTTAATCAGGAGACAATATGAATAAGCTGAGTCAAAAGGTAAGCAGGGGGCACTGAGGGAAACAGACTAATTAATACAGAGGAAATTAACTAAACTGCAAGAAAGCAAATTAAGGGTGAAGGATAAGTACTAACCCAGGGCAGTAATACACATAAACTAAGAAGCTAAACACAAACACATGCACTAATGTGAAAAGAATAGAATGAACCTAAACAAACAAACAAACAAAAAAAATCTGAAATACTTAAGATAAAAGAAAATATAAACCATTGGAGATTATGTCACTGGAAGGTGAACCTTTAAAATAAAAAATCTGTCCCTTCTCCATATATATTGCCCTCTATTTACTTTCATGCATCAACTCTGAACAGCAGAAAAAAAGCATCCCCACAGCATGATTACGCCGCCACCAAGCTAAAGTGCAATTCACCACGTGTAAACGCATAACCTTATCTGAGACAAATTTTGAAAATTGTGCTAAGAGACAGTGTAGTGTGGGGATCAGTGGGTGGTCAGAATGAGAGAAAGGGGCAGCTAGCTTATTCTAGCCTAGCTTGGCTTAACCATGTTTAAACACGGAGAGTGAGGTATCCCGGTAGTTACACTGTAAAATTCAACTTAGACATCTTTGACATAAATATTGCAGCACTAAAAGAAAGAAAATAATAAAAAGAAAAAGAAAATGCACAGAAGAATTACAATAATATCATAGTTCATACTTTCTATCCTTAAAAAAACAAGAGTTAATTTTGGGGTGAGTTACACATGAAATAGTGGAGATGGTGTTTAATGGTGATGTGCTGTGTTAGTTTTCTATCACACATAGGGCCGGATCTATCAAAGATTTGCGAGTATAAAAACGTGAGCTATTTCACTGCGCACGCTAAAAAATGTACAAACTGATCTATCAACAGCGTGCTAAAAGGATTTGGTCTTTAAAACGTGCTAAATAGCGCCTCTTATCCATTTAGTACTTTTTCAGCAATGAATATGCAATATGGGGCGTTTACACACAAAAGTGCGTCTTGTGGGAGGAGAACATGTAAATATATTAATTAAGCACTCGCAAAGTGATTTATCAAACCTGAAAGCAATTTTGCTAATGGTATCTGACTCTATATTTAACATGTTTCAAAAGAAGGTGCAAATGGTCTGTATGCGTAATTACGCACACATGGCAGCGGTTATTGTCGCAAGAAGGAGACATCGAAATGAAGCAAGGAGACGCAGAGAACGCATTTTTTCACTCCGTGTGAATATTTTTGGAATGAACGAGGAAGAGATCATTAAAACATGTCATTTATCCAGCATTGCCATTTTGGAGCTGTTGGGGGAACTCCGAATGGATTTGGAGCCAGCCACAAGGAGGACCCACGCAATACCAGATATCACAAAACTCCTTGCAACATTGCACTTTTTTGCATATGGGTCATTCCAGCGTACGGTTGCAGCGAGAGCTGGGATCTCCCAATCTCATTTTTCAGAAGTGCTGTCCGACGTTCTAAATACCGGAGAACCCCGACCTCCCCCCTGCGCCTGTGGAGCAACATGCCAATGCTGCGGGGATGCGTACGCGCAGTAATCTCATCCACAGTCACTTCTTGTGAGCCATTTGGTATACGCATTTTTCTGTGCGTGAAGTAGAAATTCAGCCACATACCAGCTTAGGGAATAAAGGTTGCCAAAGTTTTTTTTTTTTTTATATAGGCTATATATATATATATATATATTTTTTTTATTTTTTTTTTTGGAGGGGGTGGGGGTGTCACTGTAAGATTTAAATTTCTTAATGCACTAGTTTGTACAAACTACAAACTACTTTGCCGCAAACCACAAAAAGCGCAAAACCATAATTTAAATACGGTGTCTCCAACAGTTTTGCACCTTCCACCAGATATGCAATCACTCTTGTTAAATCACCCGCAAACCATGGTTCAGCCCCTCGCGCAAAATTCCAGTTTGCGAGCGCAAATTACTGCACGCAAAATTGGATCTTGATAAATCCGGCCCATAGTATTTTGCATGTGCTCTAATGCTCAAGTGTTGGATGACACAAAAGGCCTTTATATTTTACATTACTCCTTTTTAAACATTGTTTAATATTTAGCTTATTTTAAAATCAGTGCATTGGGTTGAATTTGGGATATCGGAGCAAAGACAGCTAAATATAAATGCACAACAAATATTTTTCTTTTATCTTAAATTTCGCTAACCACACCTTGCTTCCAGCCTATGCTTTATTGATATATAGGACAGAATGTCAGTAAGTCACTCTACATGTATGGTGTAATGAGGTAAGTCCATGTACATTGAACCTGCGTTTAAATCCTGAAAGGACAGCTGGTGTAAAAACTCTGCCAAGTCTTTATGCAAGTTCTAATGACTTGCCCTGATGAGCCCTAGATAAGGAAGCAACCAAAATGACTCACTCACATAAAAGCCCAATAACTTACACTGAATCTTGTAACATTGTAACATGAAAGGACAAGGAAATGTTCATGAGTTAATACTGTTTTGCCCTTATGTTTAAAATGACTTATATAGGTGTGGTCGGAAAATTTAGATTGATCTTGTCCTATATATTTAGTTATGCTATTTATCCAGTGAGAAATGTTTTTACTCAGTTTGTTTCACCTGTAAGGCTGAGAAAATTTCTGAGTGAGGGGTTGCTTCGGACAAAACATTCTTATTCCCACAACAAGCTAAATTGTTTCTCATAGTTTGTTAAAGTGTGTTTAATTTGTTTTGACTCTGACACAACCTTCAAAGTTTTTTCATCAACAAGTAACAGAGACAAACTCTGTCAAGTCAGAACAGGGCTGATTACTGTGCCGTAAGGGCAGCATAATGAGCCGTTCTCTCTTTGCAAAGATAAGAAAATGAAGTGCCGACTGAGTGGAATCCATTGATCTCCATTTATTTAACTAGGGTGAATAGTTGAATTATTTTTTCCCAACTACAATAGGCATTGTTACTAACACACCCAACAGCATACACACACACCAAGTATCTCGGTTAAATTGATCATTATTATTGTACGGTAGATAAAAACAAACCAATAACATTTTGTTTAAAAGCTGTATGATTTTTTTTCTCACCTGAATAGGAGTGCTGTGTTCCCTCGCAGGAGACTCCAGAAAGGCCTCCGAAAGAGTAAATCCCATCTTTTTTAGAGAGGACTCTTTTGAATGACTCACTGATCTCCTTACTCTTCAGATCTTGGTAAATCTGACACACAAACACACTTTGTTACTGCACCTGAAGTTAGGCGGTGAAGTCAGACTGTGATTGGATCAGGACTCACGGAAACAAATTCACTGAAGCTGATCTTTTCATCTTTGTTAGCATCTCCAGCGTTGAAGCTCTCAACAATCTGCCTCACTTTGTACCCAGGCAGGTGGAGGCTCGCCTCTCTGAACAGCTCCTGGAGCTCAAAGTCACTCACATAGCCACTGTTGTCAATATCTAGACAAAAGAACAAAAAAACAAAAACATGGACATACATTTGTATATTTGAATACATGTTTTTAAGGATTTCAGAGTAGTTCTCAAATACAAATTAGGCTTTTATTAAGATTAATTCTTTTTTGTGGTAATTACTAAACACAACCAAATTTCTATTGTTTTCTACCTCTGTGTTTAATAAGATATCAGTGACGCAACTTGGCGAAAGAACACTCGAGACTTGGTTTACACTAACATGAAATAGATAGATCACAATTTGACAGCATGTTCATAAAAAATTTATGATCCCCAAAAAATAGGGTTCTGTTTATAGACTTCTTGGGTTTATCTAATTATAGGGATATAAATTCAATAACTGAACAGCAGCAGAAATTTAAACAATTATTTTACTGGGGTTCTTGGGACTCTTCCTTACAACTCCTGTCCTCAGAATCCAAAATGGCTGCAGAACAATAAAGTCATATTGGCAGCTGCAATGGTGCTCAAATATTCAAACATGCAGACATTTTTATTGTTTTAGATAATTAATGCAAAAGAGCCTGGTGATGTAACAAATTAATTGACAAAAACTGCCAATTCCACAGCCAGCACTCTGATCCTCATGCTCAGTAGCCTTACAATTCAGTTTGTCAAAAAATAATTTGCATAATATCTACCTTCTGAATATTCAATACAAAGTTAACCTGTCCTAAAAATGTGCAACGTAAGCATCACACTTTGAGAACTATATCTGCGTTAGTTATCAGATTTATAATGCAGTTATCAACTTCCTTGAAAGATATGGAGATATATGACTATCAGAAAGGAAAAACAATGTTTTCATGTATGTTATATTTATTTGATATGAGCCATTCAGTACCTAAAAGCACAAAATCTAAGCTGTTCTTGGATCTTCTGCCTCAATGCACATGTTAGAGTTTTCACGCACCTTCAGATTAGGGTAAGCAGTTTATAAAACTACTAACCAATATGTGATAAAACAATGCATTTAAACTAATTTGTAGAACAAATAAAAACATATGAATCCCTAATAGTGTAAATGTGATTATATCTACTCATGTTTCTGGGTCTCTGGGGTTTCTGAAGTGAAAGAGCTTCCTGTCACTGTCATGATCTTGGCACTGATGACTCACTTAATTACTCATTTCATTCACCTGTCTAACTCTGCACCGTTTCTCATCACTGCTCATCTGATCCACAGGCTCCTGCCTCTATTTAAGGTGCTTGCATCCATTCATCACGGCCAAATTACGCTTGTTCTCTCTGGTAGGTGGTAAGAGTGTTTTTAGAGTTCCTAGGTGTTTCTGATTTCCTGATCCTGACCTGTTCTGCCTTTCAATCACTGAATCTGCCTGTTCATGTTCTGATATGTTTGCCTCAACTATCTTTGGACTCCTGGATCTCTGAGCCTGCCTGCTCCTGTTCTGATTTCCAGCATGCTCTTTGGGGATGCAGCATCTGGGACACTCTGGCCGGTGAAGCTCACATCTTTGTTGGTTGCCAATTGTCTGAATCCTACCTAATTCTCTGGGCACACACTGTAAAACCAGGTAAGTGACTTACGGCTTCCTAATCATCCTCAGTCAGATTATCATGGTCACTAACCTGTGTTTCTCTCCTGTAGAGTTTTCTGCCTTACATGCCCTAGGCACTGCAGATCTGAAGCTGGTTTTAAATAAACACTTTTTTAATGATCCCACTGTCTTGCCTTGAATACTGAATCCCTCTGTTCTAAGTAATGATGGTCACAGAGAAGATATTTGCTGGTGCCTGGGTAGATCAATGTTGCTGCACACCTGAGAACACTTCTCCATAAAGATGATTAGGGTGTAAATAAGGAGATCAAGGACCATCTCTCTTTGTTGGATGATTTCCTCTGATGATATTCCAGCAAAAGAGCTAAACCAGGAATATCTTTGTTGAACATTTTTCTTCTTGCGAATCTCTTTAATGGGGACTCTTGTTATTGTTCCAAACAACCAGTGAACCTCAGTTGCTTTCTGATCTCCACGGAAAAGGTATACCTGTGTGCAGCAGCTCTCAGTCTTCATCGGCTCCCTGCCTGCTCTCCAGCAGCTCATCTTTTGCAAGTGACAATGTTCTCTGATCTCACATGCAGTCTCCTGGAACTTAGGGGTCCAGTCTGCAAAGCCTGCAGAATCAAATCCCTACAGATCCATGCTACCTCCATGCTACCTCCCCTTCAAATCTGAAGTAGGCAAATCAATCAGTGAACGGTTGTCATCAACCAACTCCTTTCTGATTTCTCCTTCCTTTCTTCTGTCAGACAAACCAGACAGTTCATCTGTCTTCTGCAGTACTCCTATTACAGATTCTTGTTGCTTTTTAAATAATACATTAAAACTCAATGGTTTTGAGATTCTGCATGTGGGTCAAAAAGCTCCAAACCAAAATTACGGAATTTAAATCTAAGCTGTTCTTTGATCTTCTCACTCAGTGTAAATATTAGCGTTTTAACATGCCTTCAGATTATGATAAACAGTCCATAAAAATACAGACCCATATGTTATCAATTAATTACATCTGGACTCAATGCCTAGATCTAATTGCTAAAAACACCTTGTTCCTTATAGAAAGCATGTCTACTTTTATTTCTTCGCTGTTTAAACCGTCTATTATTGAACAAATATTTTCCTGCTGAACAAAATACCAAATCCATTTTAGGGATTCAAATGATAAACCATCAAATATGAAAGTAAGAAAGATAAGGTGCAAGGCAACAAAGTCTTAAAAGTTAACATATAAAGACTGGAGTGCAGTTGAAATGATCAAATGTTGTATATGAAGCCCTGATAACATGTTATATCTTCTCATGTTTCATTTGCATAACATGAAGGAGAATAAAAGTAAAATGATGTGCAGTTTTGTTGAATGAAGATTACTTCGGTGTCCGTGTCCTTTTCCTGTTTAATAATTTCATCAAGGACAGACAAGATACTTTGATCTTTAATTGATAACTGATTTTTTTAACTACTTCCTGTTTTTGATTATGGTTATAGATATGTAATTCATTGTGATTAATGTTTATACCTGGTTTATTTCTGACCTTTGGTCACCGAGAGCATTTTATAGAACAAGATATAAATTTAGCCTCATACAAATCACTCCCAGTTCTAAAGCAGGATACCGGTTTATGTTATAATTGGCCCATTGGCCCATTCCATTTCAACCCACCTTCAATCCAGAACCAAGAAGAACATCAGCTGAATTTATTTATGCTTACTGCAAAAAATCGGACTGATTTAAGGTTTTGCTGCATCTACTTCTTGTGCACTTATGGTGTGATTCTGCAGCTACTACTCACAAACAGCTGTACGTGGAAAGCTTTAATTATTAAACAGAAAAGAAACTAATCATGAAAAGATGAACAATTGAATCATCTTTGGTCAGTCTATATAAGATTTAGAGATTATTAAATGCAATCTAGTTTCCTTCAAAAACAGAAAAATAGCCCTTTAGTCAAAACCAGAACCATAATTAACAGCTTCAGTAACATCAGCTGCAAAATATTTTCCATAAATTACAGTAAAAAGCACACTACCCATATGCTAGACATGACATGCAATTAAATGATTTTCAAAATGCAGTATCCTTTATTATTAAAGCTGATTTTTTTAATACCATCATTTTAAAATAATAAACATATTCTCATTGATTGAAAAAGTCTACAGACATTTCACTTGCACATCTGAACACTCGTCAATCACAAAGTCCACACATGCAAAAATTCAGCCCATAAAAATGTAATAAGACTTGTACTGTTATGTGCTTTACAACTGGCAGTAAATGTCTAACTTTGCTCTGTAATCCCAGCAATAAACCTGCAGGTTAAGGCTGTGTGTGAATATGACCAAAAAAGGTAACTGACCAATTTTATTAAAGGCTTCTCGGAGGTCTTCTAGATCCTCTCTGGAAATATGCGTGTAATGAGCATCCATAGCGGCTCCTGTTGTTTGTACCTACAACACAAACACACAATAAAAATCATTTTGCATAGCTTTCGTAAGATGAATCTTGACGAACACAGAACACATTTAGTGAAGCTTTAAAATGACAGCAAATTTATATACCGGTAAATGAAATGATCTTCTTAATACATTTTTACACTATTAACTACACAGACACATATTCAAACGCATTAATAGTTAGTTTTAACCTAAGGTCAGGAGAGTCAGACTATCATAAGGAAACTAAAGTAAAAATGAAAAAAAAAAAGAAAGTGAATTGTACCTTGATTTAAAGGCCAACTGCAAGAGATGTGTGTTTCTGAGCTCTGCAGTTAGACACTAGAACAGAAAGAAGTTGGATCGTGGAGAAGCCAAGCAGCTGATTACCACTCTCAGGTGGAGTCACTAGGAGAAGGCTGACGGTGAACCTTTGGTCTGCTTAGACCTGTGACGGGCGGAGCTGGAATGTTAACATTTAACCATGGATCATGCTTTGTCTTTGAGTCGGGCATGGGGGGTTAAATTGTTCAAGAAGCATTTATCAGTGCTGTGGAATCAACAACAGGTTAAAAATGAATTTAAAAAGTATTATGTGACGTAAAAGGAGTTTTACTCAAATGTCTGTCTTATCAGTTCAAATGCTGAGTCAATCAGGAATTAAAAATTGACACTTTCAATTTCCAAGCAAAATTGTACATTTGAGAAAAAGACAGTTATAATATTGAACATAATGTTTATTCCACATTATATATTTGCAACTGTATTAATGTCAACTGTATGTGCACATCATCACAAAAAGTAGATCCCTTGTATGTTTAAAACACTATTTGACATACCGGTACTAAAAATATGCTATAACCAGGGTTGGTAAGATCATCCTTGGGGGATGCTGTTCTTCAGAGTTTATTAGAAGATGGACAAAGTTGGAAGAATTGCTGTTAGAGAATAGAAGGGTTAGGACCTTGATGTATGTCAGCCGTCCAGCAGGACAATGAGGCTACATGCGGAGCTGCTATAGAGAGGTTTAGATTTCAGATCAGAAAAAATGGCAAGTCCTGACAAAAACTTGAATCTTCTTGTTGAAAAGAACCTTTTCATCCATTCTTTCTGACATTCTGCAAAGAAAACTGAACAAAACAGTTTTATGTTAGATTTACCATCAGTGTGTCAAAAACAACCTGTTATGTTTCTTTTCTGTCTTTCAGAATAAAATACTCCCTCTGCTGTTTTTCCAGGGGAGGTTTACTGGATTGTATCAGCCTGTGGTTTCTTTTATATATATATATATATATATATATATAAAAGCTCAGTTAATTTATGTAACTTTATGAATGTGACATGTAGTCATAAAAATATACCACACCTCCAGCTGCGGGTTCACTCAGTAAGCTAGGCAGAGCTTAGGTTAGTAACATCAATGTCACTGTAATGAGAAAACAGTCAAATAAAGCAACTTTAAAGTTTAATTTTCAACATATTCACATGTAAGATTGGATCTGAAATTTAATGTGCGAGTAGCCCTTAAGATCTTACTTTGCAGAACTTTACACTTAAGCATTAGTGAGCTGCCTATTTACAACATTTTAGGTGAAAAGTTTGGAGTTTCTGTGGCTATAGTTAACATTATACATTATGCAACCAGTTTAATCACAGTTAGAGTATGCAGTGGGAAGCAGGAATCTGAGTTAAGAGCTTACATCAAATCCCAGGCACGCTGAAAGGGCAGAAAATCCACAATCTGCCAGTGCAGAGTGCAAATCAGCTTCCAGAGGAGTAGTTGCAGTTCCTTTTTTCCCCTTAAAATACTTTCTTGCCCCTCCTTTTAAGTATTTCCTCTCTGGTGTTTTTCTCCCTCTCTGTATTTAGAGAGAGGGAGCAGCTTGAAACACCAAAAATAATAAAAAATCGATTGGGTAATCCCTAGCACAATCTTCCATTTTGTCCTGAAGCATCAGCTTAGACAAGTTGACGACAAAAATTCATATCAACACATGAATCCTTCACATGTACCAGGTGTGTATCTTCTTGTTCCCCTCAGCTCTTTTCTTCCTCTGACACCTGATCAGCCTTGTCTCACTCCATGACTCTGAGGTGCTCTCCAGTTACCCTCCTATCCTCCCTGCTGATCTCAGGTTAGCAACCCTTCAATATGCACAGGACACATCTACTCACTTGCCCTGAATCTAGATCAGTTCTTAGCACCAAAGACCTCTCATAAGCCTCTTGCATTATTCATCAAACCGAAGACCGCATATGGAGGAGAAAACCCCCCACAAACATTGTACAGTCATGAATAAAACCCAAGAGTCTGACTGAAAATGTTTTTTGCTTTAGCAATCACTTTTGTACAGCACCCTGAAAATCAGTCCCAAAATCAACGTTATACAAAGTTTTCAATGAAATCAGCAGTGTTATCTGTGTAAAAATATTGTTTTCTACTATGGATTATTGAGACTGAGAAGGTTACTGAACTAGAATATTTTATTTAGAAGATTGTTTTAGGCTAAGTTGTAATCGCGCTCCCTCTTGTGGAAAAGAGGATACCCTACACTAAATGGTCTCAATGTCTCAGTGCCTGTGTTACACAGTTATAATTCACATAGTCCTGAACAATTTTAAGTGCCATCTCCTCTCCAGTCCAATCATTCCTGTCTCCTACTTCCTGTAGATGTGTTTTTTTCTCCTTGATGTTCTTGCAATCACTTTGTGAAGAACATTGTGTCACTTTCATCACACCAGAACAGATATTACATTTAGTCGAGCCAGTCCAAGTGCCGGCAGATCAGGTCGCTGAGGCCTTGGCCTCTGACTGCTAGCCAATCCCTTGTTCCCCCTGCAGGTGTTGGCGCCACTGGGGAAAGGCCTCGCCTCACTCGGGCTGGGCCTGGCTGGGCCCCACAAGGATCCAACCACCAGGTGGTCGCCGCCTAACCCCAATTATATAGGCTTATCTTTTCTTTGGCTCATTTTCAGGTTATGGTGGATCAGGTTAATAAAGCTATTGGTTTTGTCACACTTCCCTGTTGCTTGTTGGTAGTGCTTCTAAAGCAGCCCAAAAAGAACACAGCATTGTTCTCCAGAACCTGTTGTACAGATCAAGAGCAAGTTTTATAGATTGACATGAGAGTGCACAGAGCAAAGGGTAATATTTTGATTTGATATGACTAATGACATTTGATAAACATTCAGTGGGAGAAGAGTCCTGACTCCTGCTAATGGTCCAATTATTTGATTCAGCTCTCCCCAATCCCCAAAGATTGGTTTGATTCTGTGCATTGAATTAATTCTCTTAAAAAAAAAAGATTGTAGACTTAATAACATTTTATCATTTCATCACCAAGGGCTTAAAGTTAGATTCTGTATATATGTTTTATGGGTTTGTGTTGTAAAAGTCACCATATAAACCATGTCCCCTGCTCACCACTACTGCAGGTTGAGTTCCAGTGGTTGAGGCTTCCTTCAGCTGCAACGAGGCCCCTTTGGCTATCTAGGCTACGTTCACATTGCAGCCTGAAATGACCCAAATCCGATTTTTTTGCCCATATGCGACCTGGATCTGATCTTTTCATGGCAGTCTGAACAACATAGATCCGATTTTTTCCAATCCGACCCAGGCCACTTGGCTATGTGGTCCTGAATCCTGTACGAATCTGATCTTTTCAAATGCGACCTGTGTCTGAATGGCCAGATCGCATTCATCCGACCTGAACGTGATTAATACCCGACAAATATGAGGTTCCATTTGTATCAAAAATAAGCAGATGTAAAATGTCTAGTTGTTGTGCTGTAGTTGCATATGTGTTGTCTGCATATGTCTATGTTGCATATGAAAATGTTGTATATGACAATGTTGTATATGTAGATGCTGTGTATGTCTATGTTGCATATGTACATGTTGACACTATGGGGCGTAATAGGCCAATGGACGCTAACTTGGTGGTTTTATGAAAGCCATTTATAACTGATAATACATATCTCTCCAGGACATTTAAAATGATCAAAATGCCACCCATAATTCATAAAAAGGGTTAACTCAAATAATAGGCCTCAATAATAATGCATTTTGATGTTTAAAGTTATCAAAATGCCACCCTTTTTTATTCAGAGGCTCTGGGGTATGGCCTCTTACGCTCCCTAGTGGCCGAAAAATTGTATGAGGTTGCGTTTGTGTCAAAAAATTATGAGGTTCGGTTTGTATCAATAATAAGCAGATGTAAAATGTCTAGATGTTGTGCTGTTGTTGAATATGTGTTATCTGCATAATGTCTAAGTTGTACATGTATTTGTTGGATATGTAGATTCTGCATATGTAAATGCTGCATATTTAAATGCTGCATTGGTTAATGCCTTTTCCTCTTAGCTGTTGGTCCTTGTCGTTGGTCTTTGATGCCTGTTCCCCCCGCCATTACAAAAAATGGAAGTAGATTTTTTTTGTGTTTAATAGAAATTACTGAAATATTGTCTTTTCATTTTCAATAGCTTCGAAATGTTTAGATTTCGGCGAATCTCGTATTTACTTCAGGCATTAATTAGGACAGCAAAGGAGGAAGGAGGAGGCGTAGGTTGAAATAGCGACGGGGGGGATACGTTAATTTATAGGCTTAAAACTTTAAAATAACCCCAAGGGACCCTGCATCTGTCCTGTGAATAAATGTGTGCGCACATCGGCATGATTCAAAGTGCTTTATATGGTATCTAGTGTCTGGAAGACCGGGATTTTCAATCGCAGCTCAACCAACCGAACAATTTTTCTGCCACTAGGGGGCCTAAGAGGCCATACCCGAGAGCCTCTGAATAAAAAAGGGTGGCATTTTGATAACTTTAAACATCAAAATGCATTATTATATACACCTATTATTTGAGTTACCCCTTTTTATGAATTATGGGTGGCATTTTGATAATTTTAAATGTCTTTCAAATATATGTATTATCAGTTATAAATGGATTTCATAAAACCACAAAGTTAGCGTCCATTGGCCTATTACGCCCCTTACTGCCAACATCTACATATGCAACGTCTACATATGCAACATAGACATACACAGCATCTAAATAAACAACGTTGTCATATGCAACGTCTACATATGCAACATAGACATATACAACATAGAGATACACAGCATCTACATATACAACACTGTCATATGCAACATTGTCATATGCAACATAGACATATGCAGACAACACATATGCAACAACAGCACAACATCTAGACATTTTACATCTGCTTATTTTTGATACAAACAGAAACTCAAGGGAGACGTTTTATAGGGTTCAAAAATCTGTAATTGTTAAAAATTACGAAGAAAGAAATAGAGGGGAAGAGATCATTTATATTAGATTAAGAACCGGCCATACCTACTTGGATGAGTTTTTGTTTGTACTAGGGAAGAGAAATAATGACTTATGTCAGGGTTGTGAAAGAAAAGAAAATGTTGATCATGTTTTGATGGATTGCATTAAATATGCACCTGAAAGAGAGAGGATGAGGAAAGTAATTATGGAAAAAGGGAGAGATTGGAGTATTAAAGGAATTTTAGGGACAGATGGAGATAGGGAAGAAATTTTGGTTATTCATAAAGCATTGTTTTCATTTTTACATAACACAAAAATAAAAAATAGAATATAATAGGTGGAACTGTTTGCTGTTTGCAATCCGCCATTCAACATAGAAGAAGAAGAAGTAGTAGCTTTAGAGGAGCTGTTGATTAACAGCTGAGCTGCTTATGCTGCCAAGGTGGATACATACATTTTATGTCTTCTGGATTATGTGTAGAGCTGATTGTGTAATTTGTATATTATTGTGAAGGAATAATTTCAAACTTGTTTATCCAAAAGGCTGTTTTTCTTCAGAAAAGATGCAAAAAAATATGGCCGCCTTGTACTTAAATTTGTCTTCAGCTCCTCAGCTGCTTTCACTGTCACCATCTGCTGCTTATTTCGTCACTTACTCACTTAATCACCTCTCTCTATAATCCTTGGCTTTCATCCCCATACTATCCTTTGGGTTTGTCTGCCATTAGACCTCACAGTCCTCACTACTTTTTAAAATGGAACATCAGAGCATATCTCAGTGCAGACCTATGTTTAGTTCCTCTAATTGGTCAATAAAGCAGTCAAATACAAACATTTTTTTATGTAGAAACTCCATAAATTAGAATACAATTGAGAAAATAAATGTTTTAGTAATTCAATAAAACAATGAAACTTATATATCATATAAAGAAAACACAGAGAGTCGTGTTAAAAGTATTTATTCCAGGAAATGTCTTTTTTTTTTTTTTTTTTGAAAAATTGAAGCGTGTCAATACAAATTTGTCCTAGTTATCAACTTCATCTAACAAAAGTTATATCTGTGTGGTTGTCCTTGAAGCGCCAGTTTTTCTTATTGTCAGACCTTTTCAATTTGTAAACGATTGCTTTTGTATTCTTTTTAATTCCAATGAGGAGGGATTGAAATGAATGGCTCTGTGAGGTGGGACTGGTGGAGGGAGCTGGTGAAGGGACTGTGATGTTGGGCTGTGGGTGGCACTGATGATGTGGGGTTTTGTGGGGCCGCAGTACTCTTGGCCTGACGTGTTTGTGTAGTTATGTAATATATATATATATATATATATATATATATATATATATATATATATATATATATATATATATT